AAGTTGTTTTCGGAGTTCTTTCAACTCCGTGGGTGACATTCTGTAAGGTGGACGAGCAGGTGGGAACGCCCCTGGTTCCAACTCAATCTTGTGATCAATTGCTCGTCTTGGAGGGAGTTCTTTGGGCAACTCCCGTGGCATAACATCAGCAAAATCTTCTAACAATTCTGCCACTGCATTTGGCACTTCAACCTTCTTATCAGGTTTGATTTCTATCAACGCTGCCAAATACGTTTCTTGCCCTTTCTTCAGCCCACGCTTTACTGCCATGGCTGAAATAGTAGTAAGCTTAGCTTATCCTAGTTTGCTACTCACTCCAAGTGAACAGCAAGGTACAAAACAAGGACTTGATTCATGATTTATCATCACGCCATTCAAGTAAGGCACCACTGACACCTTGGCTACTTTAAAAAAATCTATTCCCAGAATAACATCAAAATCGTCTAAAGGAACAACAGTTAAATGAATTTTACCCGTCCAGTAGCCCACACCAACCTGCACATTGTAAGTTATTCCAGTCACCCCACGTGCACTTGAATTCACAGCCTTCACCGTTGTAGGACTCTTGGAAAGTGCTAGCCCCAACTTGGAAACAACCCAATCTACCACAAAGTTATGAGTTGCTCTTGTGTCTAGCAAAGCTTTAACTTGGCTATCCCTCACTTTCAACTGCACAAACAGTAGAGCATTTCGAGCAGCACCCTTGGTTACAACTCCAAGATAAGTATCACCCTTGTTTTGCTTTGAATCCGCTTCTGCCCTCATAGCATTCATCAACTGCATCAGATTCATAGTGACTTGCTCACCACTAGACTCTCCCTCTTCACCCATCAAAGCATTCAGCTTCTCTCTCTTTGGGCAATCCCTTGCCCTATGTGGCCCTCCACATATGAAACAACCAGACATAGTTTTTCCCTCCTTGTTTTCCTTAGAAAAACTACTGGTAGCAACAGCCTTCCCCTTTTCAGTAGCAGAATTTCTCTTCTGAAAGTGGAAGTCCTTTTTCTTGCTTCCCTTAAATTCCCGGTTGTCCTTCTTTTTGGCTTTCGCTGCAACAACAGGGTCTCTCTCCTTACTATATTTAAAATCAATCAACCCATCTGCTGCAGCAATAGCACTAGGCAGATCATGCACCTTCTGCCTTCGCAATTCCACTTGCGCCCAGCCTTGCAAACCTGACATAAAGTTAAACAATTTGTCCTCCTCGGACATATTTTGTATGTCTAACAACAAGGAACTAAACTCCTTGACATACTCCCTCACAGTACCCTTTTGTTGGAGTTTCTTCATGCGGTCTCTAGCATTCCAGGATGTGTTCCCCGGCAAGAATTGATCTTTCAATTCCTTCTTTAATTTCTCCCAAGTATCAACCTTGGGCCTACCCGCACTCACATCATCTGCCAGCCTTGTGCGCCACCACAATTTCGCATCACCAGCCAAATACATGCTTGTGATCGAAACTTTCTCCGCATTAGGGACTTTCGCTGCCTCAAAGTACTGCTCCATATCCCACAAGAAATTTTCCAACTCCTTGGCGTTTCTAGCACCCTGAAAAGCCTTTGGTTCAGGCACTCTTATCTTGGCTGTACTTCCCCCATCAAGACTACAAGGGAGGGGATGTTTCAGCAAGGCATTGTCATCCTCTATGGCCTCCAATCTCCTATTGGTTTGGTCCACCATTTCCATAAATTGCTTATGGAGAATTTCGAAACTTTGATCAACCTGATCAAGTCTCTCATTGATGGTCATACCCTGGCCATCTTGAGTCTCACCCAGCATCTCCTCTAACCGCGTCAATCGTTCCCTCATAGCGTCCATGTCAACCTTTTTTGGCATGAAACAACAGTAAGTAAATACAAGAACGAACCTGGTTAAAACCGGGCTCTGATACCACTGTCATAGGGCCTATTTTCGCCTCTAGGCACTGCACGGCACAAGCACATCGAGCACTTGTAAGCCTACCTCAAGTTGTGCGTTCCCCCTGTTACAAATCACAAACACAAGACAACAGAGGCTAAAGAGAGTCAATGCACAATATATACAGGAAATTCCCAACCTTATATTATATTTTCGAATACAAGGACAACTCAAGCACACACACAGCATTTTCCCACTGTTTACAATCTGATCCTCACTCACAGATTCGCACTCAAGTTACAACAAGGCTTACAAACACATAACCCTTGCCCTCTCACTCTCTATATCACGAATGTGCAATCTGCCAGCCTTATATACAAATGGCACAGTAGTTACATAACAGTTTTACAATCTTATCAGCAGTTACATGACAGTTGGTTTACATACAAATGAACCTGGACACATATAACTGCCCCACAGCCTTGGTCCAGCAACCATGCGGCCTTGTCTGATTGTTTTCATCATCTAGTGCACACTCACATGCACCTCATGCATGTATCTTTCTGTCTCATGCATGAACTTAGCCACTCGTTGGTTGTCTTACATGCTTGCACACGTCCTAGCTCGTGTGCCACTGTCTAGCCTGCTCATGAGCACACACGCCCATGTTAAAACATGCCCACACGCCCATGTTACAACTTGCAAGTGCCCACACCCGCAAGCCATCTCATCAGTAAAGTGTTTGGCGTCCCAACACTCAAACACCCCACGACTGATCTCAGCCATCCTTGTTCAGCACACACCCGTGTGTTGTCTTGGCGAGGCTATGGCTAAGGATGAAAGCCACACGCCTGCCCTTGCCCTTTGTAAGGGTCTTACAGTAGGCTGGTAGCAGATTAATCTACGATTATCTCCTATGCATTGATGCTCAACTCAACCCCCATATTCTTTTACAATTTTCCCTTCGTTTATGAATTTCGCGTTTTCTTCTATTTTTCTAGTAATCTGTGAAATAAGCGTTGTTGGGCATTCTTTAAAACTTTCTATCCAAAATGTGAGAAATCTTTGGAACGAAAAAGGTAATGGAACCCACGATTAACATAAACTTAAGAATATTTTGAATAAATAATTATATATTCTCTCTTCATTGTTTTCCATTTTTTTAAAAAATAAAAATAAATCAATATTTTCCGCACAAAATTGTATTTTTGAAACGAACTGTTTGGAATGAACAAAACAAATGGTAATTCTAAAGGGTTTTATTCGTGAATGGAAATAATTTTGTATCTTTGTATTTTGTATTTTTTTATGTTTTCAGATAAATATACTTTAACATATTTTCATTTTTCACGTTTTAAAATACGTCTTCAAATAAATATATCAATGTATTTGCATTTTTCACCTTTTCCAACAGTTTTCAATATTTTCAAAAATAACAAAAAATAGATACTCAAGATTCACATAAGAATACAATCTTAATATATGTAAACTAATACAATAAAATGATTAAATTAGATTTAAGTTTTATCATTTAATTCCAAAATACATTAACTATATATAAACTGTTGATGAAATGTTGTATACACATAACTTCAGAAAATGAAAAAAGAAAAATAGACTCGTAATTAAATTTGATGTCATTAGAATATTTAATTCTTTGTTATTTTTTTAAATATTTGAATAAAAATTGAAAATGAGAAGAACTTTATTGGGTGAGGAGTCAGGCCCACCTCAAATTCTAACATGGTATCAGAGCCCAGGTTTAGTTGAGCTGAGCACTTGACTAGCGGGTGAGGAGTTAGAGTCCGCAACTACCTCCAATAACAGACATGACCCAACATATGGGCTTGACTGTGAGGGGGAGTGTTGGAGTCCCACATCGACTAGGCACGCTCAAGCCTATTAGGTTATAAGAGGTGGTAATCCTCCCATTCAACAAGGTCTTATTGTGTGAGGAATCAGGCCCACCTCAAATTCTAACAAAACCTAATTTGTATACCTCAAAATAGCTATCATATAAGTACAAAATCAAATGGAAAGAGATATATGCATGCAAAAAAACAAAATGCATAGAAATGAAAAAAAAAAAAAAAAAGCATTTAAAAAGTTTCATATACAATAGAACCTCTTTATAGTGATACTTTATATAGAAATATAAAAATTTCTGATCCCAACTTAGGCCAATTATAAATAAAAATAATTTTCACATTATAATAAATTATAATTTTTCTAAATCTCATATTAAGGAACTTGCCTCTACATAGTAATAATTATATGTATATTACAAAAAATATATGTTATCTTACGTTAAAGGTTTAACATAAAATAAGATATTTATCTAAAGTTATTTGGGACAATGATTTATACTTTAAAGTTATTTTCACATTTTTTATCTTGTGGGTACATAATAACTTGCGAGCATTGACACCTTCTTGTTGAAGCCAAAATATTTCTAGTTTCTCAAGCATGTTTAGAGCTTATTGGCAACTTTTGGTATTTTCGTACTATCATCCTCATGATTATCTGCTTTCTCTTCTTGTCTAATTCCAGTAAAGATTTCTTATTCAGTTAAAACATATACGATTTATTGCTTATTTGGATGATTGAAAAAGACATTAAAATCTATTTGATTAGTGTAATAAAGTTGTTGAATTTGATCACTCAATTTATTTGTATTACTAAAACATTAATTATAAAATAAGAAATAAAAAAGTAATTCTTGAACCAAAATAACAATTTTTGTAATTACGTCTCTATTAAGTTATAATCGTCTCATAGTAATAGATTTAGTTGATCCCAAACATTATAACTATAGAGATAAAGATAGAGATGTTATATTGTATATAGCTTCAATTAGAGCAAATAATTCTTTATTGTTAGTTCACAGTTGACAGACACTTACATGAAGGATATAAAAATAATATCTAGATATATCTATATCCCGACAGAATTACAGGTAAATCAGTACTTCATGTCAAAGATCAAGGCTAAAAAGTTTTCATCTTTTTTCCGATTAATGCATGTAAATTACATTACATGGAAATTGGAATTGATTAAAATTAGTGCATAATTAAGTCTCTTCAAGCTCTATAAATAGTTAAGGTGCATGAGACACAGAAATACAAGTAATTAATAAGAGCAAGATGGCTATAAAGATTGAGATTGTTTCAAGAGAAATCATCAAACCATCTTCTTCAACTCCTCAAAACCTCAGAAATTTCAAGCTTTCCTTTTTAGACCAGACTGCTCCAGCAGCCTATGTGCCATTGCTGCTTTTCTACCTTCCAGAAAATGATAGTGATTCCCATGTGGTAGAGGCTGCCGAAAGATCTCAACATCTGAAAACATCTTTATCAAAATTGCTGGCTGAGTTTTACCCTCTTGCAGGCATAATCAAAGACCAAACAACCGTTGAATGCAATGATAATGGAGCTGAATATATCCAAGGTCGAGTCGATGGAACTTTAGCAGACATTCTTAAACGGCCTGATGGTTCGATTTTAAGAACTTTCCTTCCAACTGAGATAGAATCCACGGATGCTGAAACCGGGCGTATAGTGTTTGTTCAAGCTAGCTTTTTCGAATGCGGTGGAATGGTTCTTGGTTTGTGCTTTTCGCATAAAATTACAGACGGAACCACGCTAAGCACAGTTGTAAAGAGCTGGTCTTCTATAGCTCTTTCAGGGTCTAAAGATTCAGTGAAATTTCCTGAGTTCAATGCAGCATCATCAAGTTTTCATCCATTAGATTCATACATTCCTCCAAGTATGAAGGTGACTCGAGACGAGTCTGTAATTACAAAGAGGTATGTGATTGAATCATCAAAGATTGCTCAACTCAAGGCAAAAGCTGCCAGTCCAATTGTGCTGCAACCGACCCGGTTTGAAGCCGTTTCCGCGCTAATCTGGAAATGTCTTGACAATGTTTCAAGATCAACCAAGGGGTTTCCAAGGCTATCTGTGATGAGCATCTATGTCAATTTACGTAAAATGACTGTACCTTCTCTCCCAGAAAACGCTATCGGGAACGTGGTGGGGGTGTTCTTTCCTTCTCATTCAACTGAGAAGGAGATAGACTTGCAAGATTTGGTTACCAAACTGAGCAAGGAATTAAAAGAATTTCGCAAAAATGCTATGGAAACTATAAATGAAAAGAAAAGGGCATGGATGAGCATGTGTGGGATTGAAAACTTCGGAGTAAGAGATGATATAGACCATTTTATGTGCACGAGTTGGTGTAGATTTGGGTTTTATGAAGCTGATTTTGGGTGGGGAAAACCAGCATGGGCTACTGTGCCAAATCTGATGATTCCAAATTTTGTTGTGCTGATGGATACAAAAGATGGTGAAGGAGTAGAAGCATTTGTGACACTGAACAAAGAAGAGATGGCCTTATTTGAACTTGAGAAAGAATTGCTTGAATTTGCTGCTGTTAATCCCAGTGTACTGAACTAAAGAGATGGATTGTGATGAAGAAATGCATGTGAACTTCTAGCTAGCTTTGCCTTTCATGGAATAAATTGTGTGATTTCTGTACCTGAACTTCCCAATGGGAAAAGAATAATGACATAAGGTTGCTTCCTTCTTGTTGATGTCTATTCAATTTTGAGAAATAAATTTTAAAAAGATTTACTGTTACTATTAGTGTCGTCGCCGGGCTGTCATTTTCAGCACCAACAAAACACCACCGGCCACCACCTAGGTGGCACATCTGGCATGTTAAGAGATTGCTCATCAGAAAATATATATTTAAGATAAATAATATATAAATAAAATATATATTTAAGATAAATAATATATAAATAAAATCACAATACACAAAGAAACACAATATTTATATAGTTCAACGTAACCTAGATGTTGGGATTAAATCAAACTCAATCCTAACTATTATCACTCACAAACACACCAGCACACAATCACAAGACTAAACAATCAAGAACACGGAAGATTTTACCGTGGTTTGCTTATTTTGATGTAATAAACTACATCCACGTTGAGCTCCAAGCAAATTGGGACTCACTGCACTATAAGGATCACAGTATTAGAAATACAAACCAATCACACCTGAAATTACCCAACTCTCACACTATTACAACAAACCCTCAAATCTCCCTGTAATCACAATGAAGCAAACCCAAAAACAGTATGCCTACACCAGAAGAACAGCCTAATCCTTCTACCCACAATATCCCCAAATACTGTGACCTGATTACACGATTTAATTAAGAGTAACACACAAGAACCCTAACTCAGTTGCAATCGCGAGAGAGAGATTTCATTCACTATTGATTTCCTGAGATCTTTGGCTTTATATACTTTACTTGCTGGGCTGGTTAGAGCCGTTAGATCAGGCTGGATCTGACGGCTGAGATTAGTCATTTGAGTTAACTCCAAAACGACAGCGTATCATCAAACACAATACGACACCGTTTAAAGCTTCACTCAACAATCTCCACTTTGAAGCTTTAACACATCACCAAATCAAGAAAACCAAAAAACCTTACCAGTGCAGTTTCATCACAAATTACTTATCCTAGCTCGATTGCTGCAAGTCATTTGACATGCAGTCAGTTCAAGCAGTGCTTGAACTTGGCTGGAGTAACCACCTTTGTTCCCATATCAGCAGGGTTGTCTTCAGTTGGTACCTTTTTCAGGCTGATCACACCTTTCTCCACTAGCTCCCTCACAAAGTGGTATTTAGTATCAACATGTTTGGTCCGTTCGTGATGCATTGGGTTCTTGCACAAGTGGATGACACTTTGACTATCTGAATAGACAGTGACTGCACCATCAAGCAGCTCTACTTCTAATAGTAATCCTTAGAGCCAAAGAGCTTCTTTGAACACGTCTGTAACAGCCACATATTCTGCTTCTGTGGTGGACAGGGCAACAATTGGCTGGAACTGGGATTTCCAGCATACACAGTTTCCTCCCAAGGTGAACAAATATGCAGTAGTTGACTTCCTTGAATCCTTGTCACCTACAAAATCAGAATCTACAAAACCTACAAGATTAAGTGAGTCAAATCTTTTTCCATATTCCAAGCCAACATCCTATGAGCTATTAATATACCTAAGCAACCCTTTGAGAGCAAGTCAATGTTCAAAACCAGGATTTGACATGAATCTACTTAAGAGAGAGACTGAAAAGGAGAGGTCTGGTCTGGTGCTAATCATGGCATACATGACAGACCCAATTACATTAGCATAGGAGATATTTTCCATTTTAATTAAATCTGCATCTGTTTTGGGGCATTGTGTCTTACTTAATATAAAATGTCCAGCCAAGGGTACAGTCACTACTTTAGAACCTACCATGCCAAATTTAGACACCAGTTTTTGTAAGTAGGAAGTCTGGTGCACTTTTAGTTCATTATGCTTCCTATTTCTATCTATGATCATGCCTAAAATCCTTTTTGCATGTCCTAAGTCTTTCATATCAAATTCAGAGTTTAGCTTTCTCTTTAGCTCTTCTATCCTAGACTTAGACTTGCAAATTAAGAGCATGTCATCCACATACAACAACAAATATAATGGCATGTTATCAGAGAGTGCATAATAAAAGCTGCTATGATACTTACTTCTATTGAAACCAATGCTGAGTATGAATACATCAAAAACGTTTATACCATTGCCTAGGGGACTGTTTCAGTCCGTATAGTAATTTATGAAAGAGACACACATGATTAGGCAGGTTCCTATCTACAAAACCAATAGGCTGTCTCATGTAAATCCTCTCATCCAAGTTCCCATGCAAAAAGGCAGTCTTAACATCCAGTTGTTCTAATTCTAGGTCTTTATGGGCAACAATGGCTAACATGATCCTAATGGTCTTGTATTTCACAATGGGGGAGAATATTTCATTGAAATCTATTCCTTCCCGCTGTGTGTAGTCTTTAGCTACCAACTAGCCTTATACCTAGAAGGGTCAAAAGAGTTTATACCTTCCTTAAGCTTGAATAACCATCTGCACTCAACCAATTTCTGGTCTTTGGGATTTGGAACCAAAGACCAGGTTCCATTTACCTTTAGCGACAACATCTCTTCCTCCATTGCAGCTTGCCATTTTTCTCTATCTTTGGATCTGACTGCTTCTTCACAGCAGTCTGGTTCTGTCATCTGGACTTGAGCCCCTACCACCAGGGCTATGTAGATCAGATCAGCATAAGAATATCTGGTTGGTGGCTTGATCTCTTTCCTACTTTTATCCCTTGCTAGCTGATATTGTGCTAAGGGGTTAGGATGGTGTTCATCAGGTTCTACAGCTTGTTCCTTTTCCAACTCAGGGTCTAAGTCTAATCCATTGGCTCTAGCTTCCAGTTACTCCAAGTCAGGTTGACATGCAGTAGGCTCCACCTCAATTTGGACTCTCTCAGGTTGATCCTAATTTATAGGATGGCTGCTTACTGAACCTGCACCAGGGTTAGTAGTTTTGCAAGGAAATAACTTCTCGTTAAAGATTACATCCCTACTGATTATTATCCTAACCCCAGGGGCACTCATTTCCCAAAGTCTATACCCTTTGGTTCCCTCTTGATAACCTAAGAATACACACCTAAGAGACCTAGGTTCTAACTTCCCTTCATTGGTGTGCACATAGGCAGCACACCCAAAGGTCCTCAGGTATCCTAGGTTAGGTTTCCTATTGCTCTATCTTTCTTTAGGGCACAAAAAATTTATTGCACTTGAGGGGCTTCTATTAATCAAGTGGGCTGCAGTGTTAAAAGCTTCTTCCCAAAAAGATTTTGGTAGACAGGAGGTAAAGAGGAGGCGTCTAACCTTCTCTAAAAGGGTCTTATTCATCCTTTCAGCAATCCCATTCTATTAAGGGGTTTTTTTAACTGTTCTATGTCTTAGGATACCTTGTTCAGTGTAATAAGAGTTAAATTCCAGGTTACAGAACTCTAGGCCATTGTCGGTTCTAAGGGTTTTAACCTTTTTGTCAATTTGGTTTTCTACAAGAACCTTCCAACTCTTAAACTTACTCAAGGCTTTATCCTTAGTCCTAAGCAAGAAAACCCACACCTTCGTACTAAAATCATCTACTATGGATAGAAAATAACTACTACCCCTATGTGATTTAACCTTTTTAGGTCTCCACAAGTCAACATGCAAATATTCTAAACAGTTGGCAGCCAAGTGAGTTCCTTTTGGAAACTCAGCCTGTGTTGCTTACCCATGATACAAGTCTCACAAAACTCAAGGGGTTCAATGGGATCCTTACCAAATAGACCCTGCTTGTGGAGGATGTCTAGGCCCTTCTGGCTCATGTGACCTAGCCTTAAGTGCCATTTTTCTGTAGCATTTAGGTTAGTGGAAAACAACGCATAATTTAAATCAGAGTAATAATTCCCACACAGGATATACAATCCATTTCTTTTTACACCATTAAGCAACACACTGCTATTTTTATTTACATTAAGGCACCCATTTTCAACTTTGTAACAACATCCAGATTCATCTAACGTACCTAATGAAATTAGATTTCTCTTTAATTCTAGAATGTACCTAACCTTAGTTAACTTGACAGTTTTTCCAATGTCTAGCCTTAGGGTTACATTACCTATTCCTTGGACTTTACAAGCATTATTATTACCCATATACACAGTTTCTAACCTATTCTCCTCAAAGTCCTGAAACCATTCTTTATTGGGGCTCATATGAAATGAGCACCCAGAATCTAACACCCAATCATTTATATTTTCTATTTTAGATATTGTTAGAACTTCAGATTCTTCTATATTGGACTTAGAGGTTGCTAGGTTGCTTTCAGTGATCCCTCGTTTCTGTTTCTTAAGCCAGGCATAATAATTCTTTTTTAAATGGCCAGCCTTATTACAGAAGAAACACTTTCGGGTTTCTCCCTTGGCCTTACGGTTTTGTTTTCCCCTTTTCTTATTTCTAGAGCCATTATCTGGCTAGGCAGTATTGCCCATCACCTTTTCCTTTAACAAACAAGTTACTACCAGTTCTTCTCTGTATTTTAATTTCTAATTCTCTAGCTTTTAATCTTGAGACTATTAGGTCTAAACTTGGGACAGTACCAGTGTATTGAAGAGCATTCTTTACAACTTGGTACTCTTCGGTCAATGAATTTAATACAATCATGGCTAAGCTAGAATCCCCGAGTTCTTGATCTGTACCCTCTAACACTTGGGTCATTTTCAAGAACTCGTCAAGATTTTCATCAATGATCCTAGAACTATCCATTTTATATGCAAAGAATACAGCTTTTAAGTAGGCTAAATTAGGGGCAGATTGTAAAGCATAAAGAGATTCGAGTTTACTCCATATGGCAATTGGAGTTTCAAAACCGTTTACCTTTCTCAAAACACTGTCGAAGAGATTCATGATGATCAGGTTGTATGCCTCCTCGTCCACCTCTGCTTTCTTTTTCAGTTTTTCCTCTGACCATTTGGTTGCATCCTTTTCTAGTGCAATTGCTATCTTGTTATGTGATAACAAAG